ATCATCAGCAGGTTAAGGGAGGTTGTCCATTGCCTCAGTCTGGGTGAGACTCATCTCAAGTGCTGAGTGCAGTTCTCACCTCTCCACTGCAAGACACACAAGCATGTACTAGAGCAAGTCCAGAAAACAGTCATGTACATCTGTAATGAATCACAACAAACACCATATCAGGTGAAGCAGAGAGCTGGCGCTGTTTGGCCTGGAGAGGAGAAAGCTCTGGGGAGGTCTTACAATAATGTAAAAATTTCCGCTGAAGCAGTGGAGGTAAAGAAGAGGAAAGTAGACTCTTCTCAGTGCTGCCCGCTAACACGGCATGAAACTATGAACAAATATTGCTATATTTAAACATGCTGTTGGTCCTATACCTCTTTGGAAGGAGCAAAATAATATCTGTATTTACCCTCATATTGGCAAGAAGTACTAAAAAAACCCAGCTGTGACAACACACAGATATGATACAAGGAGTATAGGATACAGTACAGCATGGAGGACTGCTAAGCTTCAGTGAAGATTCTATATCAAAAAATTATCCTGTTTTTTCGTTAACATACCTTCAACGTGCTTCAGCATTATGGTTTCAATGGAAAAGACATCCTCACTTCAATAAAAGTCTCATCATCGTCTTGTAACATTTTTACATTTCTCTTTTTTTTTGGATCTCCTGTTAGCCTCTTAAATGTTGAGTTTAGGAAAGGCAATTTCTTTATCTTAGTAAACATAAACATAATATGCCCCAGAAATAATGTCCTTTAGGATGATATTATGAAAACCTGTCTTTATAATGTCCCAGGAGCCTTTGCTTGTTAGTGTTTTCCTAACTCTAAGCAAAAATTTATTAAAGCTCCTGTCACAGTGGGAAAGAAGTCTGTATCTCACTATAAGCTGTAAGAGCAAAACTCCACCAAATACAATACTCATAATATAAAATAGGACATATTTGTATCTGATGTTTTATATAAATATACAATATCTAAATAACCATTTGCAATGATCCAGAGAGAACTTTGACAAGGATTTAATAGCAGCCTGTGAACGAAAAAAAAAAAAGTTTAATTTTGCCTACATTAGTTTCAGGAACATCAGGATATTTTATTACCAGAGTTAAACTTACAAAAATGCAGCCTTTTAAACATAAACATTTGTTAAAGGAAGCATCCTGTTTTATACTGGTCACTATATGATCAGAGTTACAGAGTTATATTAGTTTCCTAGGAAACATCCCAATTAAGCAAGTTTCTTGATTGAGTGGTGTGTATTATATATGCTAGTGTGAAATTCCACAGGATGGGCAGAAAGATCTACTAACGTCTGAGTCAATCACTTCATTGCCTTCAGCTGAGTCTTCTTTCTTGTCTTTCCCTTGCTGTTGTGATGCAGAGACTGAGAGATTGACACACCATGCTATTTGTTTTTGGCCCTTTATATATTTTTCTGTGTTTTCCTGCATTCAGAGAGGGACTGATTAGCTCAGTTTTATGGTAACAGGTAGCAAAATGCCAGTTATTACATTGCTTTCTTCAAGTCCTGTCAGTATATTTTACCTGCCATTTCATGCTAAAGGCAAGCAACTATATTATCACAAGTTTTCTGTGACTGGCAACTGCTATTGGCATCATACATCTAGGAACAGCTGTTGTTGTTTTGTTAGAAAATACTCCAGTGATGCTTAGTGTAGAAGGAGCCAAGGCAGTATCAGCAGTGCTGTTCCCTTTGCAATCAGTATTGTGTAGAATTTGCTAACCTATATTAAAAATTTACTTTTTCTAATCGACTATTTTAATTTTTTAGAAGAAATGCATGCCTTATAGAATATTCTGAAAGACCATACGCAAAACAAATAGTCTTAAACCTTTTCCCTCTAAATCTCTCTGCCAATTACCAAATTAAAAAAAAAATAAAAACAAAAATAAAAATACAGTAGAGGCATTATCTGGGAACCCTCCACAGACTCTTCACTAGAAACATGAAGATGGCTCAGTTGTGCTTTCATCCAAGAGAATAGTTAAAAATTTCTGTCCCACCATTTTGTATCAGAAAATGAAAAATTTGATTGCTGTGATCTACTTCAGTATGATTTTCTGAATGAAATCCAAAGATAGAAATGCAACAGTATTGTGAATGCATTTGATTTCAAAATTATTTTTGCCTTTTTATATTTTACTACTTTTATTAAAATTGCTAATTCCAATTACTGATATACATTTTTAGATGATAGTTTCTAAATAACTGTAATTAGTGGATCACATACAAACTTTTAGGACAATTCATTTCTGCATACAGTGGTAGTTGTAAGAATATTTATTAATATTGCAAATAAAAAGTTTTTATCTAATAAGAGGAGAAACAGAGATTGGAGGGAGTGTCAATGTTCTCAGACATATTGCTGGGACTGGTTGTTATGCACTGCGGCTGAGAACAAAAATAATGATTTGTGAATGTAAAATTGGTGGCAGGCATTGGCAGAATCCTTTGTTTTTACCCTTTCAATCTAGGAAAAAGGGAAGCAGTTTATAATTTGTTTGTAAGACTGGAAATTTGCTGCTAGCAGTGGGGGTAACTGTGTTATTCCCTGGTGCTTTTGAATAAGAGCATGAAAATTCCCAGTATGATTTCCCTCAGTGTGTGAGCAGAGGTTCTTGGCAGCAACTGAGCTAATTTTCTTCAAATGCAGCTATTAGAGTACATGTGTCTAAGAACAAGGAGTAGTTGGACTTGAACTTGGAAACATCCTTATCCCAATATGATCTCAGCCATTCCTAATGTATCCATCTTGGGTACAGGAACTTTGTAATCTATAAATGACCTGGAATCTTCATTATGTTATGTATTAATGAACCACTTAGTCTTTTTATAGCTGGTTGAATGTTAGCTGGATAATTAGTTCTCTAGCAGTTACCTGCAAGTCAATCAATACATGTTTAGCATATTAAGCACCAACAAAGAGAGACTGGTTTTGTTTTGTGGGCATATCCTTTAAATTATTAACTGAAACAGCAGAATAATATATATATATATTTTTTAATCTGTAGAAACTACAGCTTGTATGTGCTCCTTCCTTACTAGTCTACCTCTTCAGTACTGTTCTTAAACATATAGCAAATCCACAAGTTAAAAGGTACAAAAAGAGCCCTTTCTTTTTTTTCTGCCCCTCTAATAATTGTCACAAGCTCTCAAGTATAGGAAGGAGACTTACTGAATGTGATTGGCAAAGTTCCGTGTTTTGATACACTGCTAGAATTGTATAAGTCTGATGGATTCCCAAGGTAAAACCTATGCACACAAAGGGTTATATACAAATTTCCCTGGAATTCCTTTAGCCCCACTGCTGCAGTCCCAGACAGTAACTTCATTTTGAGGTTCTTTTCACGAGTCTTACTGTACCCATGACAAATTCAGATTCTTTTAGCATTCAAACTGACGAAAGGATCGACCTAACATCAGTAACATCAAATCTCAGTATTTAGTCTTAAAATGTAGGCTTAAAAGAAATGTCAGAGTTCATTGAGGCTAATGTCTTCAAACTGTCAGCTTTTTCCTTGAAATTTTGAATTCTTAAGAAAATCTTTGATCATTGTATATCAAATTAGCCTGCAATACCGGTTATAATCTTTTTACACGGATATTCTCCTGCCGGTGAGAAGTCTCTGAAATACGTCAATACAAATGTATAGGCATGTTTATTTATATATATATGTATACATATATAAGAAGAAAGAACTGTAGATTTTCACTTTTTAAATGGTTTTCTAGAGCATCAAGGCTTCCCTCTACTTGTCATATTTCTTATTGCAGAAACAAATGAGTTGATGACTTATGCTCTATCTGGTGAATATTCATAAATTACTGAGAAAAGACCTTAAAATAAAACATGTTTTCATCTGTATCCTTGGGTTGTTACACCTAAGCAGCATGTCATCTAATGGTAGGTAGGTTGAAAGGCAACCCTATATTTTCTCTGTTTTACATCATGCACTGACGAGGGAATCTTTGGAGGATGGTTTGACATGAATTCTTTATCACGTGAAATTGTCTGGACCCTAAGACAATGAAAGGGAAGGTGTGTCTTTTCATTCCTTTTTTCCCTCCTTTTTCTCCCCTTCACGTTACTAATGTAACTATGTCCCTGAAAGGGAGATTTGAAATTTACTTCTGCCATAGTGCAGTAAAATAGTGAAAGCATCTGGATAAAAGCAGCCCATCCCCGGATTATGAGATCTGAATCTGGAGCTTTGCACAACCTAAGAGAAGCTGAATGAGAGAGAACATTCTGAAGACTGTATATTAAAGCACTGATTCGTATGTGCTGCAGTTGCAAGCCAGAGGACGTATAAATAGCAAATTAAAACAGCTTCTATTTCATTCCCTCCAAGAGCTTACATCCCCCAAATTCAAACAACTAGCTGCTTTTGCCTCCAGTCCCCTACCCTGCTAAAGAAATCATTTTTAATGTATATCGCTGAGCAGCTCAGAGCGATTTTGTTTGAAAAGTTCTCAAAATCCAGCAGCCTAAGTCATCTCAGTGAGCAGTGTTGTTCTTTCCATCCAATCTAGTGTAAGAGCTTCCCTCCCGGTTACGTTAAATTGTAGAATTACTCTTTTAAGCTCTCCTTTTCAAATCTAGATCATTGTACATGCATGGGGTACCTGTCATTTATACTTCAGATGCAGCTTCTGACCTTTAACACACACACACACACACACACACACACACACACAAAAAAAAAAAAAAAAAAAAAAAAAAAAAAAAAAAAAAAAAAAGGAGCTTTCTCTTCCTCCACCCTGCCATTTCCTACCAGAGCTTTGGGACTCACACATGCTCTGGTTTCATGGTTTACTCCAGGGTACACATTCTGCTGGCTGGAAGCAAGGTTCCTTTGCACCAGGAGGGTATGTGCCAGGGCTTTCACTCACATGTTAATTGCATTTTTTTTATACTCTGCCTTAGCAGGTTGGATAAGCAGAGTCTGACACGATTGCCCCATTGCTGAAACCCTGAATCAGGAGAATGCCATTAGTTTAATTCCGAATAAGGTGTGTTCAGAATAAAGATGTTATACAAGGTCCAGATTTTTGAAAGACTTTTGCATTAGCCAGCCTGCCTTGATCCAGACCAGCCTGAAAGGGCACAAATTAGCCACCAGCTTACAACCAGTGGTGCAGTAATATGAATATTGGGGTGTTAGAGGGCAAGAAATCTTTAAAGGAGTGGGGCTGATCTGGAAGGGGCCGGCTTGCCAGTGTGACACCTCCTGTGACCCATCAGGACTGGAAAGAGGCATTAAAGGGCACAATTCAATCTGAATCTTAAGCCACCGCCGGACCATGTGGACGGCTGATGAACGAGCCAGCAGTGGAATGTTTAGCAGGCTGTGACGACTTTGCACAGAAATCGGAAAATTTATCGCCGGCTTGCCACAGCAGTGCCGTACTGCCCGCTTTCGGTTGTTCGCCCCTTCCCTGCACTCCCGCCCGCTCGGCAGCCCAGCCCTCCCGGCCCCCGGCCCTCCTTCCCGGCACCGAATTTAGGGGCTCGCTGTCACCAAGCCGGAGCCGTCCTTCTTCTGCAGCTCAAGCACGAAAGGGGGGTTTTCGCAGCCGCCGCGCAGTTGCCGGACAAAGATATTCCTGTGCCCGAATACGGCAGTTATATCGGTATGGGAGGATGAATGGAAGGATGAATGAAGAGACGGATGGCTGAATAGATGGATGGATGTGCATCTGTCCGAGTGCCGGGGCTGGCTAGGGGTCTGCCATTGCGCGCAGGAGGCTGCGTGCGGCCCCGAAGCGCTGGAGAAGGGGAAAACAGGGCGGGGAGGGGAGAAGGACGGGGGCGGTCGGGGAGGCGAGGCGGCGGGCGGGCGCGGAGCGGAGCGGGGCGGGGGCGGGCGGCGCGGCCAATCGCCCGGGCTGCCGGCGCTGCAGGATCCGCGGAGCGGGGCTGGGGGCTCCGAGGGACGCGGAGCCGGGGCCGGGTGCCTCTCTGAGGACGGCGAGCAGCTGTGCCGCCAGCACTGCGAAAAGTCCCCATTTCCTTCTTATAAATTAGAGTGCCTTGTCACCAGTTAGGGCAAGTCAGCCAAGGTAAGGCTTAAATAAAATGACACTTTAATACGTGGCAACATGGATATTTCTGAACAGCGGTACTGCTAACACAGCCTTTTAAGCAGCGCAAAATATTTCGTGCAGTAATGCTATCATAGCGGGTCCACAACCTGTAATTTGTCTGTGTTAAAGTTACCGCTGGTAGGTAAGCCTTACCCTTGTGATGCTGTAGAAACGTGTGTGCTTATCCGAGGCAGTTGCAAAGGGACCTGCAAAATACAGGCATAGAAAGGTAGCGGCGCTCTGTGTATGTGTTTGTGTGTGACCGTGTTTGCAATACCTACAGTTCTGCTCCTTAACTTACGGGGATAATGTGCAGATGCATTTTAACGGTGACAGCAGGCAGATTCTTCAGCTCAACTCACATCTGTGAGCATTTATATACAATAAAAAAGCATGCCATGTCGAACTGTATGTGAAGAATGTTAATCTTGATATTTGAATAGCAGTTTCAGGTTGGCTTTTGGTTTTGATTTTTTTTTTTTACATGCTTGTAGTATTATGTGATAACTGAAGATTGAAATTGCAGCAAAAGACCTCCTGCAGATACCCAACTTTACTTTTCGTAAAGGGCACTGTAAATAATGCATAACCAGAAATAAATCCTCTCTTAATTTCCCCCTAGCCCACCCCAGCAATACCTTTCTTAATGAACAAAAACTATCATGTGCTGTTATGTTCAGATTTTGACCAATTGAACTGTCAGTCCTGGAACTGGGTACTTTGGCAAGCAAAGAGTTCCTCTGGATGACTTCACTAACGTGTATCTTTGAAAATAACATAGTGCTAAACCTGTGTGTGTGTGTGTTCGTGTGTGTGTCAGTTGTGCCTGTGAGTCAGTTTTGTGTACATGAGTGACAAGATACAAGGACAGGGTACAGAAGCCAATGAAACATGGCAAACGTAGATTCAATGGGGTAGATTCAATTTCATGTGATCAATGCCCCATTAGTTTTTCATGATCAAAAGAAATACAATGGAAAACGTAAGTAAAATTATGACTTCAGTTAGCACAGGTAATAAAACCACTGCCTCTATTCAAGGTACAGAATTACTTTTCATTCCAAGACAGTAAGCATAGCTCCTACATTTCCAAATCTTCACTTCTGTACTGCAGTCAACCATACACAGTGGTGTGAAAACACTGAAGCCTTCCTTTTGCATAAATTATCCTTCTACTGAATGATAGTAACTGTTTGTTGTTGGGAAAAATATAACATTAATTGAAAAGTTTGGCATATATTTGAAATTTTGCCTAACTGTAAAGGTAAGAAGACTGATTTGGAGAAATAACTGAAAGGCTTCCTTACCCACTCCACTGTCTTTGACAGAACATTTAATTTCAGATATTTCTGAAGAAGACATGGGACGGTGTAGTTACCTAATGCAAATTAAGGTGTGGCTCTTTTTTTTTTTCTTTTCTTTTTTTTTTTATTTAAAATAAAAACAATCAAACAGGAAAAAAATAATCCCACAAACAAACCCATTCATTGATACCTGCTTTTTCTAAAAGATGACAGTACAAACAGTGTGTCAAACAGCACTTTCCTTTAAATAGGAGCAAATCTGGTGCCCAAGCATGGCTTAGGGGGCACTGTGTTTCTGGCTGAACAATGTAGAGATGAGATTGAAAACCAGATTCCTTCCCTTACAGCTGCTGAGGATCCTATAAGACTTCTCTAGGACAGGGTTGTTGACTCTGCTCTTAGGAATAAATGCCAGTCAGAGTTGTTGTACTTTGTCCAATTTAATTCCTGAAGTAACTTAATTTGAGAGCACTGTTCTTTACTACCCATATTAAAAGTGTTGTTTGATGGTTTTGTCCTGCAATGCAGAGACTGTAACTCAACCACTTTGTTCGTTCATGCTATGCTAATTCATAGTAATAGTTCTGGTGAACATATGCAAAGTTATAATACAGTGGGGGATAAATGTCTTCAACATCCAAAATTAGTGTACCAGAGTGCATGTGTGCATGCCAGAGAAGCACAATTGTTACTGCACCAGTACTGACATTCCTGTGACATTTCAACCTTTATCTCAGCCTGATAAATGAAACTTGAAAGGTATGAAAAATTCTGTTAACCAGAGCTCCTGCTCCTGGTTAAGAACTACATTTCTGCTAATACAATTAGTACCAAGAATTATCAGTCTTATCAGATTGATCAAAACCAGCAAAATACCAGTGAGCCATCTGTACCATGCAGATGAACATGAGCTCGTGTTTGGACAGTTTGGCTAGTTAGCCCTGGCAGACCTGTCCTCTAAAAGGACCTAAGCTGAATCAGCCATAATGACACTATGGGCCACAGTTACTTTATAGGCAATGCAAAATAAAGGTGGCAACTGACACAGCAGGAAGGGGAGGAAACGCATAGTAAAAACCACCCAACGATATAAAATGATTGTATTATTAGAAAAGATTCTATTAATCTTCTCCTAGAGGACGGATACACATATGCAAAGGCCACAAGAGGAAACCATATGAAAACCCCAACATTGCCTACAGAGTTTATATATAATCTAACATGTATATCTTGCTAACATTAATTATAATAGAAAACTTATTTTCCTTGGTCAATAGTGCTGTAGTTTAAAAAGTGTATATATAAGCAGTGATAAATCAGGGTGAAGTGTTTCATTTAACCATATACTTGATGGGCAGTCTTAGACAAGTCCCTAAAACACTCTGTAACTTCATGTATGACACATAGCATGATAAATATAGAATGAATGTTGCATGATACTGTTTTAAGGAAATATTGCAGAACCTAATACTGAAGTGTTAGTGTCTCCATTACTCTATTACTTGGTTTTGATTGATACAAAATTTTGCTATCTATTTCCAGCAAACAAAGCTCTGTGGAATTTGAAATTTCAAAGAATGGAAGTAGAATTTTTACCAAGCTTCTGAACTGGGAGCAAAAACCCCCATATAACGGAGAGCCATATAAGGGAGAGCAAAGACTGACAGAATAAGATTTTTTTCCTCCAAAACCAGCTTTTATCAGACCAACTGTTAATACTGAGGTGCTTTAATTAATGTTCCATTATCCTTTTTTGGACTGGTTTTAATATACACATGAAGAATCAACAGATATTTAGAGAAACCAGTTTGGGATTTGAAAGGAGTGAATAAAACTAATCTCCTATTTGGGGAAGGGTTTTTAATGGGGGGGAGTGAGTTGTTTTTTCAGGTTTGTTTTTTTGTTTGTTTATTTGTTTTTTTAAATCATGTCTTTGTTCATTGAACACAACCAGAAGAACACAGTTGTGTAACTCTGTAAGTCACCGATAACAACTTGGTAATATTTGCACATCTGCAGTTCTTATATAATGAAAATACGTTTAGCAGATGTTTGAGGCCTGTAAGAAACATGGTTTTGCTTGATGGCAGCTGTCATTTATATTTTTGTGGAATTAGTTCAAACCTGAGCAGAGTTAAGGCTGGGTTTGTTATCACAGAAAAGACAAAGCACTATTTTACAATTATAAACTTTACTCCCTAGTCCTTATGAAATTGTTTTCTTCTTTTAAGCTGATGTTCTTGCAAAGGGGTATGTATTTTGGTCACAGACATATTTTTCCATTCTCACTTCACCTTACCTAGGTTTCAATATAATTTATCAAGTGCTTACATGGACAAATTTTAAAGGCTGTTTGTGAAGTGTGGTGTCAAAATACACAAGCTAGCTAAGGTACTAGCTGCACTTCTACCATAAGATTGTAACGAACTGTGAGATTTTTTGGTCTTTGTGATACTACACAGTCTGTAATGTTGAACCCTGAGATTACTTTACAAGAGGGATCAGTTGCATTGTCTTGACTTAGCAGATGGGCAGAGTGAGGCAGTAGGTCTACCAGGCTTTTCCTTAAGACAATCTGTTGGATGTGGAAGTGGGGACTGCAGTGTCCTCATTCAGGTCTTCTGTCAGATGAGGACAGTGGACTGGGCACTGCAAATCAGACATCTTCAGGTTTTTCATGTGCTTGGGTGGTCTTGTGCTTCGATTGTTTTGAACTGTTCTTTGGAGAAACCTACCTCTCCCTGCTACTGATACTGAAGTACATGTTTAAGTGTAGGTGGCCTAAATACTGCCCATCACGTGAGTACTGTGCCTGTTGAAAAAAACCAACTCTGTATTTGGTGTTTCCAGGAATATCATAGAATCATAGAATGGTTTGGGTAGAGAAGGACTTCTAAAGATCATCTAATCCAGTACCCCCTGCCCTGTCATGGGCATAGCTATCTTTCACCAGATCAGGTTGCTCAAAGCCTTGAGCCTTGAACACTGCCAGGGACAGGACATCCCTAATTTCTCTGGGCAGCCTGTTTCAGTGTCTCTATTATGCACTGTATTGTTTCATGATTTATTGCCACTGAGCCCTTACATTCACAGTTATGGGTGTGTATATGGTTACATATGCACACACATACTCTTTGAGAAGGTACAAAGAAATGAATATGAACTTTAAGAAAAAAAAATACAATGCTTGGTACTGCTAAAAGCATGTAAAAATTATTGGTCACATTGTTTGGCATTAGACTG